CCCCAAAACCCCAAAACCCCAAAACCCCAAAACCCCAAAACCCCATAATACTAAAGCACCAGTTAAATTAAAGATTAAGATTTAATAGATTAATGTATTTCAAAGCCACTTTAGACATTTCAATAGAAAGTATGAGAAAAAAGCCAATACAAAAGCAGCAACAAATAACATAAAGAACGGTAGTATTGTTTCCTCATCTCCCATTGGAACTTGTACGTTCATGCCCATAAATCCGCTTATTACATTGAAAGGCAAGAATATTACTGTTATCGCAGCGAGACCTTGCATGATTCTGTTAAGGTTATTGGAGTGCTCATTAAGCTTATTATCTACCATGTTTTCATAAGTCTAGTCACTCAGCTAAACAACATTTTTAGCCTTCTTCATTATAATCTGTGAGTTATATAGTCTACCTTTTAGGAATTTAATTAGCAGCTTAAATTTGTTAGAAATAAACTTTTTATTTTTGAGTTTTCTGAAAAACTTCTCCTTAATGTCAAGATCATTCTCGAAACTCATCATCACATCTTTAGCCATATGACTTCGTCTAACATAGTCCAGTTTTTCAAAATGACTTAAGTTAAGGCTAAGATTATTTAAGGCTTATGCTTCAATCTCGAACCTCAAAATAATTGGTTCAATCTTCCTCAAAGATTCATCAATAATTCCAAATAAAATATCCTCACAGTTCAATTAGCAAGGTAATTGGCTAAGTCTCTAACTTACTCGAGGAGACAGTTTCCCAAAAGTTTCCTGTCTCTTTGGCAATCCTACAAATTATGATACAAATGACTCATCACTTTTACTGAGATTGTCGTTTTCATTATCGCTAGAGGAACGATCATCATTAATTCCAGCTACCGCTGTAGTTCTTTCTTTTTTATCTTTTTATTCTTGCTAAGCATGACCATTAGAATACGTTGAAGGAGCTAGATTCAGTTTTAATTCTTAAAGGAATTTCAATCTATCTTCCATCGCTTCCTCATTCACCCTAATCGTTAATGGACTATTATCATCAATGATACTTCTTCTCTTGTCAACAGGCATTTCTGCTAAGTCCTTAAATTTAAACAGATTTCTCATAATGTTCATCATTGGCTACTGCCCTTTCATTGTTGTTAAAACAAACATGATGTTTCTTGTGTATTGATGAATAACTTTTATGATGAATTTCTTTTGAAGCTAATTTTCTTCAATAACTTCAAAGTTATAGAATGCAGTCTGCTCATCTATTGTCACGATTTTATCATATTGTTGCTTAAGTATGATTTCCCATATGATTATGGGATTCAGGTTGTATTTGCTCATAATTAGTCTTAGGTCTTTCTCCTTTATGGATGTGAGCATGATCATATAGCTGTTATTCTTATCATTAGTATAGAAACTGTCGATATTTAGAGTATTTCTTCTGAGATTCGATAGAAGGTTGTTCTTAAAGCTTAGGATGTCATCAAGTGAGCACTTTGTGTATTACTTATTACCTAGATCGAATATAGCATAGCAGCCATTCGAATCTTAATGGTCTCCTTGGCTCATTATTTCCTAAGATGTTTGATCGTTCTACTGGTTAAGGAAGTTACCGCTGATGCCTAGAAGAGAATCTAGTCTAGACCTTTTAATTGATCTTACTACTTCTTCTAAATTTTCATTTTCCTAAAGCTTATTGTTTCGCAGATTGAAAATATTTTCATTTTAAACTGATTCGATATCCCTTGATTCTTCGTACAATTGATCAGTTCTCACTTGATTGATTTATTGATTTCTCTAAGTAGATTCACTCTGGTTTTCAGAACTCCCTTCGTATTTAATTTGCTCGAAAGCAACTGAAAATAAAATTTATAATTAATCATCAAAATTTAATTAAATTTATTTGCATGAGAGCAAATATATTCATGATTTATTGACAACTTACATAAATTCTCAGGTAACACGTGGAATTGGGGAGTTTCTCTACAATGCTTATAATTCTTCCTTTGAATATCATTAATTAAATCTACATATTCTCAATGACTATTACCATATGATAAAACTTACTAACGTTGCTATATTCGCCTCGAAGATTATCTGCTAAATTAGATTGCTTTTACTCATCAATATCATCGCCCTCGGTCATCTCCTAGTTGCTCACGTTTATCATAGTAATTATGTTCCTGTTTTCATTTACAAGTGGATCAGTTTCAGTAAGATTAGGGCTTCCTTCATTCTCTATAGTCATTTGAATTGCATTTAGGTCCAGGGGTTGTTCACGGGTAGTCTGTCTGTCCATGTTACCAATGGTTTCCATTTTAAAAAGAGGACTAGTTAATTGATTTCGTTTGATTCTTATTAATATTGCCTCTTTTTAAAATTTGATTCTATTTAAATTTTGATCATTCAATTACAATCAGAATCATACATATTTAGCACTTCGGGGTTTTGGGGTTTTGGGGTTTTGGGG